ACCTGCACCTAACTTTTGACTGTCCCCAAACTCAACTACAGTTGGGCCCCACTACCTGCTGAGGATTGATTCTAGGAACCCTGTGAATGCCAAAATCTGCATGCTCAAGCCCCTTATATAAAATGGCATAGAATAATGCAGACAGTAGGTCTCCCCATCCACAGATTCCCAACTGCAGACTGAAAATACTGTTTTTGATCTGTGGTTGGTTTAATCTGTGGATGCAAAACCCACAAAAGGCCAACTGTATTTATTGAAGGAAAAAAAGTCTGTGTGTAAGTGGACCTTGGCAGTTCAAGCCCATGTTGTTCAAGGGTCAACTATACTGTCACACTGAATTCAGCAACATATAAAAATAATAATATATCAAAACCAAGTGGGGTTTATCTTGGGTATGCAAAAGGGAGTCAACATTCAAAAACCAATTAATGTAATGCAACAAACTAATGGAAAAACCCCACATGCATCATCTCAATAGATACACAGAAAGTATATGACAAATAAGGTCCATTTACAATAAAAACTCTCGGCGAACTTGGAATAAAAGGGAACTTCCTCAACCTGATAAAAGGCACAGATAAAAAAAAAATGTGTCTATATATACAGTTTAATGGGGCTATTATTTTCCCCTACATTCAGGGATGAGGCAAGCATGTCTAATCTCATCACATTTATGCAACACCCAACTGAAGTTCTAACCAGTGTAGTAAGACAAGAAAAAGAAATAGAAGGCCCACCTGTTAAACAGGAAGAAATAAAACTGTCTCTGTTTGACATAACTACCAATGTAGAAAAATCACAAAGAATCTACAAAAGAAAGCTTCTAAACCAGTAAATTATTTTAATAAGATCATAGGATATAAGATCAATATACACAAGTCAATTATATTTCTACATACTAGCAAGGAACAAGTATAATGCACAGTTTTTAAAGTACTATTTACAACAGTACCCTAAAACATGAAATACTTAAGAGATAAATCAAAATTAAGCACAACCTTGTAAGCCTACATAGCCTAAATCTTCAGAGTAAGCTAACTTATTTTCTTCTCAAGTCACTGGAAGGTTTTGCATGAGTAAGCTTTCCTCCCAGTAGATGGTACCTTCTCTGACATTTTCCCTCAGAAGAGACTCATCCTGAGAATTCATGCTGTGAGGCTGGTATCTTGGAACTAGGTAACAGAAAAATGGAATGCAGCCCCAGAAAATTGAAAGCTTGCAAAAGCCAAGTTAACAGCTTCCCTTCTAGTTAACTGATAAAGCCAGACACTGACAACCTTTAATACTAAAATCCCTGGATGAAATACAACACTGTGTATAAAACTTGTCTCATCACTAAGCCTTCCACACATTCACAGCCTCTATTAATAAGGCTATGCACTCATGGGCTTCGAGACACGCCCCTCCTCCCAGCATACCCCCAGACACCTCAAACTGGACCCGAGGTGGGCCCCTAACCCAAGGGCAGCCAATACCTAAAAAAAGGCCAACAACTAACGACATGACATTTCTGGGGTTTGGGTGGGGGGAACCCCGCCTGGCGAAATCCATTTTCTCAGAAATCTGAAATGGAAAGAACCAGAAGAATGGCATTAAGCAACAAGAGTAGACACTGAGAAGTCATGAGGTTGAGAATGCCTGAAGGAGCTTTACGGGGCCTTGGACATGGAGAAGTTAAGAAAAAATGTGCTATGTAAGTATGCAGAAACTATAAAGTAGAAAGCAATACGCTGGGTGAGGAAGCTAGTGGGTGAGAAGAGAAGGATGGGGCCGATGCCACTGGGCATCATGTAAATGATGGCAAAGTACTGGTACAGACCATCCAAGAAAGCCTGCTACTAAAGGCCTAGAGCTGTCCTGGACCCAGCAGGATGACTGTTAGTCATCTACTGCCACAATAATACTACACAACAACAGACCCAAAAACCTCCATGGCATTCAACAATGAGCATTTAATTTTCCCTCAGGCATCTGAGTTAGACTGGCTCTACTTTAAGCCATATATCTGCTGTGGTGGCCTCACTCTGAGGCCCACCCTGAAAAGGCTGCAGCCACTCAGGGTCCTTCTCAAGGTTAACGCAAAAGCACAGGAAGACATGGCCATCAGCCCAAGCACGCTGCAAACATCTTCCTTCATCATGTCCACTATTATCCTACCGGGCCAAAGCAAGTTATAGGGCCAAAGCAAGTTATAGGGCCAAGCTCCAAATTAAGGGGTAGGGACATAACACCATCTACCATGAGATCATGGCAAGGGTATGGACGTGAAACACTGCTACAGGGCAGTCAAGAATTGGGGCCAATCACTCAATCTACTATACTACTCTATACCACTTTTCTGAACTAACTTGGCTTAAATTTCTGTTTCTTGCAACTCAAAGACTCTTAACGAAAACACGAGATTAGAAACGTCTCTAGGAGCAAAGGCACACCACACTGGGGGCATCCACTCTCCAATGCCATATGACCTGTGCATCCTATCCCTCCCTTCTCCACTCAAGAGGGAGAATACTATCTGAATCATTTTGTTGAAATATTTCTAATGAAATAAAAGGGGGGGGATTCATGAAAGTCAGAAGACATGTCTAAAAAATATGGCAGCAGTTGCTCAAGGATCTCCCTAGATAGAAGGTGGCAATAAACGCCAGACCACTCTTCCAAGGCACACAGAATTTCAGATCGGTCTGCTGCAGGCCCAGACACTGCAGGTTTCTACATCCAAAGCTTTGGAGCTCTGTCAGCATATTTTCAGCTAAACCACTGTTTTCTAAAGCAATATTATCTACCTAGTTTATAAAAAAGAAGAAAGCAATGATTTACAAAAAAAAAGGTGAATAAAGTCAAATGAAAGGCAGAATAGAACAAAATGGCAGAAAACAAAATAAACCAAAACAAATATTTAGAAAGTTAAAACATTTAATTTGCTGGAGGTCTAAGAAATGCTGTTGTCCTAAACAGAACTTTGAAAATGACAGTTTTGTTTCTTTAAAAATTAAGTAAAATTCTGGAGACTTCCGCCAAGATCGAGGCGTAGGTGGAAGCACTGTGCCTTCTCGCACAACCAGGTTTAAAAACAAAAAGGTTTTAGCAACAAAAACACAGCCAAACCACAGAAAATTGAACTATACGGAAGTCTGACAACAACGAACCCTTCAGCCAAACCGGTAAGAGGGGCACAGCCAGCCGTAGAGTGGGGTCGGGCAGGAAAGATCCACCAGACTGACCTGGGCGTGGGACCCAGGTGCACCGGCAGCCATGGGCGGATCCCAGGTGTGGAGTAGCAGGTGGGCCCACTGAGGGCTGACTGGGGTCACACATTCATGTGCAGATAAAGCGGTGAAGGAGCGAGCAGTGAGACGGACCTCACAGGCCCGAGCAGCGGGAAGCGGCAGAGGGGACCACCATTTTCCTTCTCTGACGCCGTCCCCACATACAGCGTCACAAACCAGCAACCTGGGTGGCCCCGCCCTGGTGAACACCTAAGGCTCTGCTCCTCATACCTAACAGGTACAAACAGATCAAAACATGGCTCAAGAACAACTCAGAGCCCCAGAGCCAATAACTCTAAGCGATGCCAGAGCCAATAACTCTAAGCGATGAAGAAATAGCCAAACTTTCAGATGCACAGTTCAAAACACTGGTGATCAGGATGCTCACAGAACTGGTTGATTTTAGTCACAAATTAGAGGAACATATGAAGGCTAAACTAATTGAAATGAAAGGAAATGCACAGGAAACCAATAGTAATGGAAAGAAAACTGGGACTCAAATCAAAGGAGTGGACCAGAAGGAGGAAAAAAATGACCAAACAGAAAAGGATGAAGAAACAAGAATTCAAAAAAATGAGGAGAGGCTTAGGAACCTCCAGGACATCTTTAAACGTCCCAACATCCGAATTATAGGGGTACCAGAAGGGGAAGAGGAACACCCACGAGTGGAAAACTTATTTGAACAAATAATAAAGGAGAATTTCCCCAATCTGGCAAAGGAAATAGACTTCCAGGAAATCCAGGAAGCTCAGAGAGTCCCAAAGAAGTTGGACCCAAGAAGAAACACACCAAGGCACATCATAACTACATTACCCAAGATTAAAATGAAGGAGAGAATTCTACAAGCAGCAAGAGATAAGGGGACAGTCACCTACAAAGGAGTTCCCATCAGACTGTCAGCTGATTTCTCAAGAGACCCTACAGGCAAGAAGGGGCTGGAAAGAAGTATTCCAAGTCATGAAATCCAAAGACCTACATCCAAGATTGATCTATCCAGCAAAGCTCTCATTTAGAATAGAAGGACAGAAAAAGTGCTTCTCAGATAAGATCAAATTCAAGGAGTTCATCATCACCAAGCCCTTATTATATGAAATGTTAAAGGGACTTACCTAAGAAAAAGAAGATAAAAAAGATGAACAGTGAAAGGGCAGCAAACTCACAGTTATTAACAACCACACCTAAAACAAAAGCAAACTTAAGAGGACAGCTAGATCAGGAGCAGAACCATAGAAATGAAGATCACATGGAGGGTTAGCAACAGGGGAGTGGGAAAAAGAGAAGGGGGGAGAAGGTACAGAAAATAAGTAGTATAGATGGTAGGTAGAAAATAGATAGGGGGGAGGGCAAGAATAGTATGGGAAATATAGAATGTAAAGAACTTGGGACATGTGGTCATAAACTAAAGGGGGGGAATGGTGGGGGAGAGGGTGTGCAGGGTGGGAGGGAATGAAGGGGGAAATAGAACAACTGTAATGGCATAATCAATAAAATGTATTAAAAAATTAAGTAAAATTCTGGGTGTGCTTTTGAACTGTGACCATTTCAAACAAAGAACTTACCTCTTGTTAAAAGAATTTATAATGACTCCATAGTTATTTGTTAAAAGAACTTCATCCCTCAGCAAACAGCCAGGCAAGTTAAAGGTAACACAAGTATTATTAATTTAGACAGAAATTAGAGCCACAGCACACACTACCTGTGACTGTTGTTCAAAGATTTTTAAATGCTTACTTCTGACCCAGACCATCCTCGCAAGTTCATAGCCAACCAGCCCGCAGTTGAGAGGAACAAGGAGGCAAGGGAACTGCATTGGCAATTGTACAGATGCACTGTGAAAACAAATGGGCATGCCGTGACTTTCTGAGATCCTCTGTTCACAGTAGGCTGGGTCTAATACGAGTGGGTGAAAGCTAATGCCATCTAACTCAACTCTGCATGAGTTCTGCATGTTAATAGCCAAGAAGCTTTAAAGTTCTAATTCTGGGAAAGGGCCTTAAAGTGACTCTAGGATATACACCATTAGAATAAACACCATGACACTGAAAACCAAAGTTTTCCAGTTCCCGGTACCTATACAAGCCGTATCTGCTGCCACAGAATTCCAGTGCAGATTAAACAAAAGCAGCCCCTCAGAAATTCATCCTCATGAGATTTCTGTCTGCAATGAAACAAGTTTAAAACAATCTAAAATCACTTCCTTAAAAAAGACTCCCTTAAAAGAAAGAAAAATCCCCACCCTCTACCCACTAGGTGGCCATCGTAATAGAAAAGCCAAAATAAAATCCTCCTCGAGAAAACAGTTGCCTACCCACACAGAGGAGGAAGGTTGATGTGATCTGACTTAGAAACAGCTCTTTGGTATTCAAATGTTTTGATAAGCAGAATGTCAAGGCTGTTTGACTCTGCCCCAATCAAACAAAAGGGTTAAATGGCAAGAGAGGTGGGTACAGTTTGTTAGGCACTGGAACAGGTTATTAAGAGTTAGGAAATTATCTCCTTTGTGATGTGTTTATGGTTTAGGTACTTCTTATTCCTTATTTTCAATCTTTATTAATTGATAAAACATCACACAGTCTTAACAGTGGCAGAGAGATCACCCAAGGCTCGAGGGTGTGTGTGCACAGACCAGAACTGTAAACTCAGAGAATGCACTTAAGGAGCAAGCCCCGGCCCCACAGGGTCACACCAGACTTGGGTCTACAACACTGCCACCTGCTTGTCCTGACCCTGTTCTGACCGCTGCTTTTTTCCAGTAGCACCCCTCAGACAGCCCAATAAGGTCAGAGCAGGTTTGAAACCTGGCTATTTGAACTGAACTGTGCCCACCTCACCACCCCCAAATTCACAGGCTGAAGTGAAGCTCCAAGTCCCAGTAGTTCAGCACATGACTATATTTGGAGACAGGGCCTTTAGAGAGGTGACTAAGTTAAAATGGGGTCTTCACGGGTGAACCCTAATCCAGTATGGTTGGTAACCTTTTATGAAGAGATTAGGACACAGAAAACGCCAAGTGAGAGGACGGTGAGGAAGAGGACTGCAAGCCAAGGCGAGAGGCTTCAGAAGAAACCACACCTGCCACCTTGATCTAAACTTCTAGCTTCTGAAATTGTGAGAAAATAAATACCTATGTAAGCCACCCAGTCCCTAGTATTTTATTATAGCAGCCTCAGCAAACCGATACAACCAGAAACACATTTTGCTACAAAATCCCCTGATTAAGGAAGAGATGCTGCATCTAAAGCTACCCTTAGGGAATTTTTGATGGCTTAATGAGACATCTGAAATCATCTCAATTATCGGGGAAAAAATGCCACAGTCATAATAAGCATCTCTATAGTTTCATCTAACCTCATAAAAGTCTTCTACAACATCAACAGTTACGTACCGCTGGCTGCTTTTTCCTTAGCTCCACAACCACCGCCAAAATTCGCTCCCATCCCTTGCCTTCTCCACAATGATACATTACAACCACTCGCCCAAGTGGTTGTCTCCCATGGCTCCAGCCTAAGACTGCAAACTTACACACCAACATTTTCCTCCTCAAAGCTTCTTCCCAAAGTGATGTTTCCTTCATAAGTCTGAAAGCTTTTTGGTGGCAGAAACTTACTAATCTTTGAGCCCCAGGCCCTTGCAAAGCACCTGGTATACGGTACTTGCAGATGTGTACTGAGTAAGTGAATGCCACCAATAAATGCACGCTGAATTTCAATGGCATAACTGATACGGGGTCAGTCTGGGTCTCTTTCTAACAGTGTGTCTGGCAATCACTGCTCCCTGGCAATCTGGATGAATCTCATAATCACAAAGTTGAGTAAAGAAGCCAGATATAAAACATACGTGCTGTATGATTTCATTTAAATAAAGTTCAAGAACAGGCAAAACTAATCTTGAATGACAGAAGTCAGAATAGTGCAGGGGGAGGGAAGGAAGGGAGTATGGGTATTATCGGAGAAGGGACACAAGAGAACCTTCTGGGATGCTGGAAATGTTCCCTATCTTAATCTTGAAGGTAGTGGTTACACAGGTATATACACACATGTAAAAAAATCCATCAAGCAGCACACTTGAAACCTCTCCACTTCACTGAACGCATGTTATATTGAAAAACCCTATTTCTATGTATGGTCCTAACATACTCTCCATCCAAAAAAGTCAGTGCTCAATTAATGTTGTGGTTGAATGCCTAAACAATTTTTGAATAACAATAATCAGTGTACTATTTTCACACAAGAAAAGTCTCGGCAAGCAATTGTAATCCAAGTCTTAAACTGAAGCTGGGTTAGGGAACACCATCATTCCCTCACATAAGCAGAAAACTCACTTCTGCCCCAAGTTGCAGCGTGCCTGCAAGTGCTAAATGGGGAGGACTTCCCTCCTAAAACTGGCCCCAAGCGTAATCCCTAGGTGAGCAGCTCTACTGCTGAGGCTCAGGAACCCAATGGCATTTTAAGGTACTAGGAGAAATCGAGGTTCGATTCCCAGTCAGGGCATATTCCTGGGTTGCAGACCGGTCCCCTGAAGGCCAGTTCCCAGCAGAGGATGCACAAGAGGCAACCATACATTGATGTTTCTCTCCCTCTCTTCTTCCCCTCTAAAGATAAATAAATAAATAAATAAAATCTTTAAAAAAAAAGATACTAGGAGAAAAAAGGAAATTTTGCAACTGGAAGCTCTTTCTACTACATTAAGAATCTAGAAACACTGACAACAATATCAGAAAGAAGCCTCTGTCAAGTATCACTTAATTATTCTGCAACTGTCTACCTACCTGGCAAGCTCCTATTCATCCTTCAAAACCAAAATCAGATGTTAACTCTTCTGGGAACTTCGAAACCTTCCCACCCTCCTCTATGTTCCTTTGACCGTTCTACTTACTTTGTTTCACTGCAGTTTAAATACTGGTCACATCTATTTTGACATTATTACACTTCTAGACTGATCGCATTTCTCCCCCCAGCACCTAGTGCATGGCAGGGTACTGGGGAGGCATGCAAATGTCTGTTGAACTGACTTGAAATATGACTACCAGCAAACAAGCCCTACCATTTGAATGTCCAATTACAGAGTCCTAAAATAAGTGGTATTCCCAGATAAGGCACAGTCTGTACTCAAAAGAGGGAGTGAAAAAAACTATAAATATTCTCTAGGACAACGTTATTTTTAGTATGGTAGTCACCAGCCTCTAAGAGTGAACTTCAGAGGCAAGCTGGAGACTAAATGACTTAAATGAAGAGGGTGAAGAGTATGGGACTGCTAGGTGGCCTGTGCTCCTGGAGAGAGAGGTACAGTACAGCAGACATGGTCCCAGAAGCAGCAGGTTCATCCACTTCAAGGCAGAGTCTCCAAGGTCCTACATGACATTACATGTAAGAAGAAGTAACTGTGTGACCCTAAACAAGTTCATTACCTCCCTGCACCTTAATTTCAGTTTTCTCATCAGTAAAATGAACAGGGGGAGTAATAACACAACCTACAATCTCACAGAGTTTTAAAGGATTAAATGAGACTAAATATAAAATGCTTAGTACCTAGCATACAGTAACCACTCAATAAATGTTTGCTCTAATTATTCTGCTGCTCTGGGATGGGATGGGGATGCCTGGGCTTTACCTGGTCCATCATATTCCTGTCCTGCCTGGCACTCTGAGCCTTTTTACACTTCCATTTGCACACGGCTAATTCCCCTAGCTATATGCAGGGATTCCCTCTCACCATGAATACACCCCAACAAAACAAAGCTGCACCTCATTTTTAAAACCCTCTCCTCTTCCAGTTTTCCTAATGAAAACGTAGTTTCCTATTTCATTTCCTCAGTGCTCTTTCACCTTTGAACAGATTAATGACAGTAAATTGATCATATACACAGATCTCTACAGTCACTTTCAAATATTTTTATAGAGAAACCCAGTTAAGCAATGAAGATTTCAAAAATTTCCAGCTCCACTATCTAACATTAGACCAACCTTCCCTCCCCCCACCCCACCCCTCTTCTAATCTCTTCCTTATTTGAAAAGGGAGAGGGGATGCTGGCACTAAAATCAGAGGATGAGGATGTCCATTTCACCTTCCTGGAAGGCGCACCCTTCCACAGTCACCAGAGAAGTTTTACTTGTGGTCTTAAAAAGCCCACTGCAGCCCTGGCTGATATGGCTCAGTGGACTGAGCACTAGACTGCAAAGCAAAGGGTCACCAGTTCGATTCTCGGTCAGAGCACATGTCTGGGTTGTGGGCCAGGTACCCAGGAGGGGGCATGTGACAGGCAACCACACATTGATGTTTCTCTCCCTCCCTTCCTCTCTCTGTAAAAATAAATAAATAAAATATTTAAAAATATTAAAAAAAAAAAAAAGCTCATCACAGACCTTCCCTGCCATGAGCCCCCCATCCTTTATTCCATCCCAAAGAGCAAAACTGCCAGTATGGTCGAGATTCAAGGGTATTCCTGAAACCAAGGCCAATGACTACAGTGAGTACAGTGGTTCAAGATGAGGACCCTGCCTACCTCTTTCTTTTCACCCCTCAGGTGGACAATGGGTAGTCTCTAGACCAGCTACACCTAAGGCAGCGCTCTTCTTGCTGGCTGTCCAGCTTTTACAAGTCAGTTAGTCATGACCAGCATTTCTTTTTAAATTAAAAATATATATACAATAAAACAGGTAAATGTTACGAATATGTATTATCTCAATAGCTATTTTTTAAAAACAGAATAAAACAAGTACAAGTAGGAGAATGAACGTTGAGTATGAAACCCTTGCACCACATATGTGTGTATACTGCACACAACCTATTATGGCCACACAAGATTAAAAACCTCTAGTTTAGCAGTCAG